TAGGATATAGTAACTGAAGTTTAATCGTGTAAGGATAATTTTTGTCCGATAAATATTGATAGAACAATATTTGCAGTGCAATGTACAACTTAATAAGTATAGAAATACAAACATAAATCAGAGTACTTATATGAATTCACCCACGCTTATAAAATTTATATTTCTGAAATCAATCAAATATTGAAATACAATTTTAAGAGTGTTTCTTTTTATAAACCAAATAATGGAATTATTTGCTATTCTTCAAAAATTCATTTCATGAACAAAATTAAAGGAATTAAATGCATAATAATATGATAAAAAGAAAGAGCTTACAATTTTGTCGAATTCATATACCACGCAATACTCACTAGGATACAAATCAAGGTTGGCGAGAAACATGCTTTGAGTATACGTTTGAAACAAGTGGATATATAAAAATATACTATATTAAAAGCAAGCTGTCATTATCTGTTTTTTTTATGGCAATATTGAAATGCTAATTTAATTAATTAATGATATTAAAAAGTAAAATACTATTACGAAAGAAAAAAAACTTGGAAAAATATTTTCGTTTTGACTCTTCCTTTTATAAAGAATGGTCAGTAGTCAGATACAGCGGTTGGTAGGTCAAAACTGTCAGCCTTGCCATGAAAATAACAAGCTAGTAACCATATTTTTACTTGAGTTAAGTTTGATATATATGCAGCAGGAAAACGATTGAGATTTTGATTTTGTGTGGCTGGGATTTATTGTTTTGTATTTGATTTATTTTATCACGTGCCAAATAAATTAGAATTAATTTTACTTCAATTTTTGAAAATCAATTATTATTATTTTAATACTATCGACTCTATTACAAAGTAGTATCTGTTATATACTTTCACAGAGGTGCCATCATCATCATCATCATCATCATCATCATCATCATCATCATCATCATCATCATCATCGGTATTTTTTGACTTATATATAGATAGTGTAGACTTAGCCCCTCAATAATTTGATATGTAGCTTATAGTACAGTGCACAAATTTTTTAAAGTGACATCTTTAGTTGCTTATAAATAGATTGTGTTAGTGTATAATAATAAAAAATTGTTGAAGACCTTATTTTGCAAAGTTAATTTTGTTATTTAAACATCAATCTCGCTTTTACATATATTATCATTACTCCATTTATGTCATTTTTAGCTCAACAAATGTTAAAATTTATCTCGTGTGATATGGTAAAAAGATACCAATAATGTTATCCAAAATATGTGGTCCCTTAAGTAAAAAATGAGAGGGTCAAGTAAAAAGATGCATAGAAGGGAGGTGTTAGTATAAATGTGAATGTTATGACCGCAATGTTAAGCTCCTAATGGAATAATGCCTATGAAGAATAAAAATATTTTGAATCGCTTGGAGCTCTTAAAAAATATAATGTATATTTTTTTTGAATATATTATTACATTGTAGTATCTGTATTTGTTTGTTTATATTAGCTATTTTTAAGTTACAAATGAGATTATTACACGTGTCATCATCAATGCTCGTACCTTTCACAATCCACACTAACATCCAATCAACATAAAATTCATTGAGCACAACCAATTCTAACATCACCTTAGTCATTGGACATATGGACGTATGTGGCTGAGCCACCAAATCAGCTACTCGATTATCTTTATGACCAACTGAGCTGCTCATGCGGGCTCCACCATCAGTATTCATGATCGTATGTTTATATTCGAACTGTTGAAAGGAACTGCCATAACCTAACAACAAATGTTGTCGGATTTGATTTGGTAATGGTTGTTGCCTGATGGTTCGCTCATTTATGAATTATTATGTGGCATGTGAGATTGTTACGACATCTATTTCTCTTATATATATGCGACCAAATACTTGCTTTCGTACTTATGAATTTGTTACTCGATCTGATCTGTAATTTAAGATATACATGCATACCAACTACTTGCCTGTTGTATGTATTGATTAGTTATACACATTTTAAGCAATAAAATATATGTACGTAGTAAATATATGAATGATATTCTATAGTAACTATATTAAATTTAATATAGTACTTAATTAGGTAAATTATTTTATTTTGCCAAATAATGCACCCAATGTCGTCCAAGGTAGGTAGCATCATCTCCAATCCAAAACACCAAAAATATATAAATTAAATGTCACATCAAAAACAATATTCTTACACCAACTTTTATTCATCTCCAACCCATCACATCAAATTTTTACACTAAAATAATTTGCATTTACTTCCCACATTTGGTCTCCAATTATTAATTTTGTTACATTAAGTGCACAGGTATGCTTTTCTTTCCAAAAGGTTGAACCCCAACCTTAAGGGTCCCCCACACTCCGACTTGTTAGAGCATTTGGGAGGATGTAAATCATGATAACTCAACTGAACATGAACTACAGAAGTTAGACATTTGCTTACTGCGCACAATGCAAGGAGCCCCCTCATTTTGAGAGATTGCTCCCAAACTGCTGCTGGTGAGACTCGATCCCTGGTCACACACAAGTATGTTTTTGTTGTCACATTTGGTTGTGCTGACTAAATCTCCAGCAATCACTTACCAAAAATATAATTTTTTCCAATATAATTTTTCTCACATATATATGAGGTTGTTATAATGATAATTTTTTAGTAATAGTATGATGTATCTAAATTTGAATATATCATTTTTTGTTCTTTGTAATAACTTTATTAGAAAAAAATTATATTTTCTGACGAGTAATTGGAAATTTGATTGGTATCACCAAATATCAAATTAAAAGATAGGAGGAAAAATGAAAAAAGATGCAATGGTCAATAATAATTGAAATAATATTATAAAATAATTAAATGACACGATATAAAATGAAATAAAAGTTAGTAAGACGTGACACCCCTTGAATCCTTTGATTGATTTGGAAATATTTGTTTGGCACTTTGGCACGTTATTGGTGAATTGGCTTGGAGAAGCTTCATTATTTAATTTGTGATTTAATTATTTTTTAATTTCACGGTGGCTAGTGTCGGTGCGGGTCACGTCGCTTTTACCCGGATTTCCTGCACGGCCCTATATCTTGAGAAATTTTGCAATTTTAATTGATTATTTGTTGATGACTTGATTGCAATTAACATTTAAATTGTTTTTATTTATACGAATAAGGGTTAAATAAATTATTAAATTATATGTAAAATTATAGTTGTGTTATTCCAATCTAAAATCATGTAATTAAACTAAAAGTTATAAACTCTTTTGATTCTAGTTAATGAGGTGGTTATTTTCAAAAAAAAAAAGTTAATGAGGTGGTTATTAAGTTATTTCATTAAAAAAAATTAATTTTAAATATTTTAATAATATAAAATAAAATAAAATATTTTTTTGAAAATAATGAATAACCCAACCCCTCCCCCGCCTTTGCTCGAGGTGGGGGGAGGGAGGTTTTGGGTTTGTTTTTTGTTTTTGTTTTTTTTTTTTGTTTTTTTTTTCTTTTAAATTTTATTTTAGTTGAAATTATTAAATTAAGTTTAAAATTAATTTTTAATGGAAAATAATTGTCACGTCAATATGAAACATGATAGCAGGTCACCTCGATTTAATTGTATAATTTTAAATTGTTTAGAAGCTTAATTGAAATTTTTTTAAATTAAATGACCTAATTGTAATTGTACGTATAATTGGATGATTTATTTAAATCTTAATTTCTTTTTATTTCTAAATTAATTAGAATTGAAAATATTACATCAATTGTAAAAAATGAAGTAAAAGTAATTGTTGTCGTGCAATCTAATTATCAGCTTAGACTTTTAGTTGAAATAGAACACATACTTCAATTTGGTATCAGAGTCATGCGAAATGTTAAAAAAAAAAAAAAAACTAATAATTGGCTTGTACACGTGAGAGGATGTGTTGTGCAATCCAATTATCAACTCGAGATCAAAGTTCAGTACAACTCCTTATTTTATTGCCACATGCATGCGATTCTTTATTTCATTTTCAGCTGCCGAAAAATTAAAGAAAAACTTGTACATGCAAGTAAAAAGCATTGTTTTATGGCAAAATTTTGTGTGAAATCATCTTACGTATCTTTGTCTGTAAGACGAATCAGGTTAAGATGAAATGTAATACTTATACTAGCATAAATAAAATGTTTATTACTTATATGAACAAATGTAATACATTTACATTTTGATGTAAAAGTATTATATTTTCTTTTATAAGTGCAACATTATTTATAAAGAAAAATATGATAGTTTTGATAGAAAAAAAAAAGTCATACTTTTACATCAAAATATAGAAGTATTATATTTTCCTTATAAGCAATAAATATTTTATTTCTGATTTAGTATTACATTTGCATATTGATCCGTCCGATCCCGTCTTCTCTCACATAAGGATCTGTGAGACGGTCCCACACAAATGTGACATTTATTTTATTATATATTGATAGGCTCCTAAAAATGCTAACATTACGCTATATTTCATGGCAGATTATATCACAATTATTTTAGACAATATTAATTAGATTGTAATATAATACTTTTAGGTGACAATGCAAGAAAATCCACGTACAGTGTCACAATTTAAGCGTGTGTATCAAATAAATTTCACACAAATTTCATTCACATATAGTGTTACTATTTAAGAATGTGTATCAAATAAATTCGATTTATATGGTCAATATTGAAGAGGTGTAGTCTCCCCGCGCACTCTGACTTCAGCTTCTATTGTGCATTTGTCCTTGCACGATGACCAAAAGCCCGCCGATTTCGTCTTGAAATACTCCTTGGTTATCAACTTTGGCCATTCACAAAAAGTATTTTTGGGGCTGGAGAGGTCGAACCACCGACTTCCTGCAACAATTCAATATGTGTTTCATTTCAATTTAAAATTTAAATAGAAACCATAAAATTTATTATATATACCATACGTACCTTTGACAATCCAATTTTTATGGTGACGACGGTCGATTAGACGCAATGTGAACTCTGCATATATGCGAGAAGGAGTTGGCTCTTTGTGTTCACCACCCAGAGCTAGATGTAAAGACAAGGACACGTGGGTGCCCTTGCCGTCCTTCCCGTTTGGATATACCCGCATCTTCCTGTATGTATATATGTTGTAATAATTGATTAACATTGTGTCGATTTATATCGGGTATAACCATGGTTGAAAAAATCGCTAGGCGTCCTGGGGACCGCCTAGAGTGCCTAGGCGGGTGCCTAGAGCGATTAATCGACACCTAGAGCGTCTAGACGGACGCTTAGGTGGCTGACCGCCTAGCGTTTAGGCGCTGATTAATCGACGCCTAGATCCGATTTTTGTAACACTGGGTATAACTCAAAAAGTTTTGAATAGGAAATATATACCATTGTTGGAATATGGGGGAATCGTGGTAGGGCTTCTCGGGAACAAAAAAATTGAAGATTGTCCAAATATACTTAGTAGGATCAGGGTCTTTATCATTGACAAACACTCTCCTTTATAGAATCTCAACTCTTTATGCACATAAACCTCTGCACCAAACACGCATACATCGTCCACCACATATCCATACGAAGGATCATTGAACGTTCCGACAGGGATGACTCTGTCGAATCCCCATTCCGTCCTCGTCTCACGAAACCGCCTCCCTTTTTCTTGCACATCTGCATGCCGCCATCAAAATTGAAGCTTATTAGTTCCTGCAAATTATTAGCAATTTCTGACAAAGCTGTGGTGTACACGGAACAAATTTCACTTTATGAACATAACTGATAAAAAAACAACAATAAGGTAAATCAACCTTCATAGCTGACCAGAGGATCACAATGAAGTAAATAATTAAGCTGTTAAACTAGATTAGGTTACTCATAACTAACTAAAAGGAAGTAAGTCAGCCGATAAACCAGCTTAGCTCAGAGGACTACAAAGAAGTAAATAAGCTGACCTACTAAAATTAAGAAAGTCAATATTCTGCTCTCGGCTCTCGCTATAAATAAACTTGTAATTATTATCAAATTCACAACCTGACTAACTTGATTAAGGCCCTGTTTGGTAAAATGGCTGTTAGCTGATAGCTGTTAGTTGTTAGCTGATTGTGTTAATTAGAGGATACAAATAGTTAATAACATTAGCTGATTGTAGAAAAGTGTTTGGTAAATTAGTTGTTAGCTGATAGCTGTTTGGTATAATTTCTTTTCTCAAAAAGCTAATTAAAAAAGTTGCTTAGAGTAGCATTTTGAATTTTAGCCTTTTGAAGTTGCAAAAAGCTAATTAACCAAATCATCAAATAAGCCAAAATTGGCCCATAAGCCATTTTTTTACCAAACAGGGCCTAAGTCTGTCCCAAATTATAAGACATATATGCATCAACCTCGAATGAGCAAATAGGTATCGTTGTTTGGATGAAGCAAGAAGAGGCGGAACACGGCGTAGATTTCCCAGCCGGGTTGGAAACCTCTGGTATCCGCCATTGCTAGGTGCATAGATATGTGGTCTGTAACATCATTCCGTTTGTTCCCATTTGGGTAAAAAATCAACTTCCTGCAAATTAAAGTGCAAACACAAACCGGGGTGTAAGCGAGTCAAACTATTCAAACCCGACAAATTAATTAACACTACCGACCATTTGTAGCCTCCGGCTTCGAACTGAGCTGAAGTGCACTTGTTCACGTTGTATTCTGTAAGTAAAGACACGGATTGAATCTTGAATATGAAGTGACTGGGCGCCACGTCTGTAGTTGACAATGAAACCCCTAAACATATGACATGTCAGCAAACATTATATATCTATCTGCAAAATTATAATTAAGAACATGTGTGGGTTACCATCTTCCCTGACGAATGTGGCCATGGGAGGACAATTAAGGAAATTGTTGGTGGTATATAAACAGCTAGCGTAGTGGGTGCGATTTGAAGATTTGATTTGATTTGATATGTTAGAAAGTTTGATTAATGTGCATGGAATAATGGATGGATATATAGATGAGATGAGATGAAAAGGTACTGGAGATAAGATCAGAGTAAAGAATGATTCTTGACGTAATATAAAGTAATGATCCATTTCCATTCCTTTTTGAGAAATAGGGATGTAGTATCGCACAGATTCTGTGCTTGTCTCGCTCACAATTAACAATGCTAGCTTGACGCCAACCTTCCGGCTCCTATCCGATAAATAATTGAGGAAGCTAAGCTAAACGTTGGCTTGGGAAGAATTGGAGAATATCCGTTCGTGCCAGTCTATAGGGAGCAAAATCGGGTTGCAGATGCATTAATTAGCCATCTCTAGAGATTTCCAGCTGCATGACGCTTGGACTACCCTTAGAACGTGTTCCACTATTAGTGAAGAGGCCTCAACCAATTTTGACTTATTTGACTACTATTAACTGTCTCATGATTAAACAATCAATATGAGTGTTTGATTAATTAGCTTTTTAATTGTAACAACTTATTGCTCCAAAATGCTAAAATTCAATAAGCCACTCATAGCTTTTTCGATATGTTGTTTGAAAGAGTCATTTTGTATGTAATCAGCTTAGCAAATTTACCAAACACTTTTCTACCATTAATTAATGATATCAACTAACTCAATCACCTAACAGTCATTTACCAAACACTCCCATTATGTTAAACTATTGAGACATGTAATAATTAAATTAAATTAGGCAAAATTGGATTTTTCACAAGTATTACACTTTTACTCATATATAAGTAATTTTTCAACATTTAAATATTACATTTTGATTTAAGAGAATGTTTGGTAGTTAGGAAAGTTCAAACTTTTCTTGAGAATTTAAAATGGGGTCACACTTGTGTGAGACCGTCTCACAGATCCTTATATGTGAAACGGGTCAGGTCAATGTGCAAATGCAATACTTATAATAGTAAATGTAATATTAAATTAAGAATAAAATATTTGCTACTTATTAGGAAACACATAATAATTTTGAAAACAAATGTAATACTTTTATATATTGATGTAAAAGTATGTATTACTTTTTTCATCACAAATATTATATTTTCCCTTATATAATGTTGCACTTATAAAACAAAATTTAATACTTTTACATCAAAGTGCATGTAAAAGTACATTACATTTTCTCATATAACTAATAAACATTTTATTCTTCCAAAAGGCTGAACCCCAACCCTAAGGGCCACCCACACCCCGACCCGACAGAGCATTTGGGAGGATAAGTATTTTATTATTGATTTAGTATTACATTTGCTAGTATAAGTATTACATTATATTTCATCTTGACCCGACCCGTCTCACGGATAAGAATTCGTGAGACGGTCTTACATAAGTTTTTGCTTTTAAAATGTAGGAAGAATGCGAAGGAAGGTCTTAGGTAACAAATATGGTTAAATCTCAACCATTGATCTAGTTCAAATCAATAATCCAGAATGAAGAATTTTTTTTTAAAAAAAATGTAATAGCATTATGGTAATTTTGTGTAAGCAAGTTCAGATGGTCTTTATCTTCGAGTGCACATTTTTCCTTCTTCGAGTGCATATTTTCCCCTTCTCCGAGTCCATATGTTTCGTCTTAGTGCATATTTTCTCTCTTTGAGTGAACATCTTTGTGCCTTTGAGTGCATAATTTTGACCTTTGAGTGCACATTTATGTGTCTTTAAAGTGCAAATTTTGGTGTCTTCAAGTACATAATTATGAGTAAATGTTTATTATATCTTTCAATAACATATATAACTAAATTTCTAATAAAATTTGTGAGATTTACAAACGATTTGTAAGAATAATTGTTTCAATAACACTTATGTTGAATAACTCTCCTTTTTAGTACCATAATGGCTTCTATGCATATCTTTGTACCTTCGAGTGCACATTTCAAGTGCATAATTATGGGCACATGCTTATTATATTTTTTGTATTTTTTTTCAATAATGTATAACTAAATTTATAATGAAATTTGTAAGATGTTGAATAACTCTCATTTTTGGTACCATAATTGTTTCAATTGAACATTTGTGTGTGCATGTGTGTATTGTTTGCTCGCGGGTTGGCCTGCTGCCCACGCGGGCTTAGCTGTGTAGCCTGCGAGACCTGCATTCAACAGTTATGCCATGGACTCAGGTTTACCTTGCAATTTGGACCCGTATCAAAATACACAATTTATATATTGAATGTTCACAATTCAAATTGTGAACATTCAGTATATAAATTGTGAACATTCAATATATAGCCAAGCATCTTGTGCTCAGATGGCTCCCATATGGGAGGTTGTAAGTTCGAGCCTTAGTGGAGGCGTTATTGGCTCTTTATACTTCAGTGGGTTGAAAAAGTAGCTATGAACAGATACTACATTGTAATAGAGTATGTAAATAGTGTATTTCAGTACACTCTAACATTCCTACTCGTGACTCAAACCCCCATGCATGCCCGACAAAGAAAAACTAGTACACACTCAAGTGAAAACGTTGTTTTATTATTCGGATGAGGTGCCAAGCAAAATGATAACCTTATACATAACATGAAAGATCAAATCTGATCAAGATCTCAATAATTTTACACAACAATAGATAATTAGATTGTAATATAGTCTTCATTTTGAATTTGGCTTATATGCATGGTCAAGAATAATGAAGAGGTCTAGTCTCCCCATGTACTCTAACTTCAGCATCTATGGTGCATTTGTCCTTGGACGACGACCAAAATCTTGCCTTGAAAGAATCCATATCTATAAACTCTGCCCATTCACAAGAAGCTGTGGAGGGGTTGAACCACCGAGTTTCTGCAACAATAATCAACATTAATTGATACGATTTTATACGAAATGAATGATGCGTTATATGCACAACAATAAGTAAGAAATCACAAAAGTTAATTAGTTTATTTATTTATTTTTGTATTTACGTACCTTTCTTGGTATAATTTTTCTGATGACGACGATCATCGATTAAACGCAGTGTGAACTCTGCATATATGCGAGAAGGGGCTTGCTCCTTGGCTTCATTACCTAAAACCATATGTAAAGATAAGGACACGTGGGTGCCCTTGCCATCCATTCCCTTTGGATATACCCGCATTTTCCTGCATGGATGTTGTAATAGTTGGGCATTAGTTTAAATGAATACAATTGCAGTCCAATGGTACCAAGTTGAACTCCCACATAGGAAGTTGTGGGTTGAGTTTTAGTGGAGGCGTTACTGACTCTATGTCCTTCAGGAATGAAAAAAATGCTTTGGATAGATGTTACCATTGTTGGAAGGGAAACTCGTGGTATGATTCATCCTTCCTTTCCTTAGGAATGCGAGTTGACCTTCGCGGCTCGTTCAGGTCTTGGGTTGTATCATTGTAATGGTGCTTTGGGGCAAAAAAATCATCAATTTTCTTGTTGATGAGCTTGGCGGGGTCGGGGTCTTTAAACATTGACAAAGATTCTCCTCTAGGGAATCTTGTTTCCCCTTTTGGGAATTTAAATTCTTTGTGGACATAAACCTCTGCGCCAACCACGCATACATCGTCCACCACGTATCCGTATGAAGGGTCGTTGAACGTTGTTAGAGAGATGAATCTGTCGAATCCCCATTCCCTCATCGTCCCACGAAATCGCTTTCCTTTTCCTTGCTCTGCATCTGCGTCAAAATGGAAGCTTAGTTTAATTATATTCATGCAAATTATTAATCAATATGCATTAAACATGAACCTTGAACGACAAAATAGGTGTCATTGTTTTGATCAAGCAAGAAGAGGCGGAAGACGGCGTGGACTTCCCAGCCGGGTTGGAAACCGGCGGTGTCCGCCACCGCTAGGTGCATAGATATGTGGTCCGTTACACGCTTGCGTTCGTTCCCATTTGGGTAGAAAATCAACTTCCTGCAAATAATGCATTCAGATCAATCATGGGAGTATAATAACTCAAATAAAAGTCTAAGCTGATAGTTGGATTGCACATTAATGTTATATGTTGACATGGATAGTACCATTTGTAGCCTCCGGCCTCGAACGGAGCCGACGTGTATTTCTCTATTTTGTACTGTGTAAGCAACGACACGGATTGAATCTTGAGCATGAAGTGACTTGGCGCCGCATCCACCGTTGATAATGAAACCCCTAAACATATGACAGACATATGTGTCAGCAAACATCATTAATTTGCATGCAGATCGAATTATTATAATAATAATTTGTGTGCATGCATGTGTAGTTTACCATCTTCCCTGACGATCGCCATGGATGGGCGGACAAGAAAATCTTTTCTGGGTTCGAATTGAAGCTTTGATTTGATGGAAGGTTTGATTAATGTGGTTGAATATATAGATGAAGGAGATCGATGGAAAGAGGTTTAATGATATGAGAAGATCGAAAATTAAATTAAATCTTGTGGAAAGTAAAGAATGATTCTTGACGTAATGTAATGTGGTATAGTGGTAGACCCATAATTTGCATTCCTTGTTCAGAAACAGGGATGTAGTATATATCGCCCAGATTCCATTCCTTTAATTACATTACACTACGTCAAGAATCATTCTTTACTTTCCACAATTAATATAAGCTTTTCTTCTCAGTTCTCATTAAACCTCTTTCCATCTCCTCTTCTATATCTCCAACAACAGCTTTCTTCTCCGGCCATGGCTGTACTCGTCAGGGAAGATGGTACACAACAGACACATATATATATTATTGCATGTTCTGATCTTATAATTTTTGCAAATGTTGTTGTTAGTTAGTTACAGATGTTTGCTGACATGTCGTCATATATATATATGTTTAGGGGTTTCATTATCAACTACAGACGCAGCGCCCAGTCACTTCATGTTCAAGATCCAATCCGTGTCGTCACTTGCAAAACACCAAATACAGAAATACACTTCAGCTCAGTTCGAAGCCGGAGGCTACAAATGGTACTCCAAACATATATAATGCTTAGTTTTTTGAGTGATTAAAGAAAATTTGATTGATTTTTAAATTTGATGTCATTATTAATACCTAATTAAGGCTGTTAATTAGGCGAATTCTGCCTTGTGACCTCATTTCTTGAGGCTTTGCACTAAGTAAATTCTGTCTTTAACTTTAGCTGATCACTCCCGGAGATTGTGCACTAAGTAAATCATGTCTTATTCTTAGCAGACAAATGTATATAAAGAGGTAAATCAGGTTCAAACCAAGAGAGCCAATAGAATACTCTGGCTGAGAGTCGATTTTATTGTAACATTATGATTACCGCCAAGTCTGATGAATTTGACTGGAGTTGTCCCATAATGCATGGTTTGTGTTTAATTTACAGGAAGTTGATTTTCTACCCAAATGGAAACAACCGGAAGGGTGTTACAGACCACATATCTATGCACCTAGCCATGGCGGAAACCAGTTGTTTTCAACCCGGGTGGGAAGTCCACGCCGTGTTCCGCCTCTTCTTGCTTCATCAAAACAACGATACCTATTTGGTCATCCGAGGTTAATTCATGTCTAAAAACATATATAGTCGTAGCCGATGTCAATAGAGACTTCAAAATTTGCATATATGAACTAAGAACTAACCCTCCATTTTGATTCGATTAGACGCGCAGGAAAAAGGGAGGCGGTTTCGTGAGACGAGGACGGAGTGGGGATTCGACAGAATCGTCCCGACCAAAATGTTCCATAACGGTTCATACGGGTTTGTGGTGGACGATGTATGCGTGTTCGGCGCGGAGGTTTATGTGCATAAAGAAATCAAATTCCCAGAAGGGGAAACAAGATTCCCCAGAGGAGAGTGTTTGTCAATGTTTAAAGACCCCCACCTCGTTAAGTACTCATGGACAATTCCCAAAATTTTTGGCACTCTCAGCAAGCCTGATGACTACCACGAGTCCCCCACTTTCCAACAATGGTATTAAAAAAAAATAATAGAAACTTGTCAGATCAAATTTACCTTAAATAACTTGATTTTGAGGCTACAATATTCATGCAGGAAAATGCGGATATATCCTAATGGAAAGGAGTCAAAGGACGAGAATGGCACCCACTTATCCTTATCCTTACATATGGTTTTGGGTGATAAACCCATGAACCCAACTTCTCGCATATATGCAAAGTTCACACTACATTTGGTTGATCGCCATCACCGCAAAAATTGGATCGTTGAAGGCACGTATATACAACAAATTAACACTACTGGAAATTATGGAATTTCTGACCACCTGAAAATGATCTTAAATCAAGGTGAAAGCAAAAAGTGGTCGGAAATAGCAACAAAGATTTTTCCGAACACCAAAAGTGGTCGGAACAAGGCTTTCGACTTGATTTAAGATCACTTTCAGAATTTCCAGTAGTGTAAATTCATGATTTCTTACTCATTTTATATAAAATAATAATAACTTTTTAGTTGAAATGAAACGCATATTGAATCGGTTGCAGGAAGTCGGTGGTTCGAGCCCTCAAGCCCCAAAAGTAGTTTTTATGAATGGCCGAAGGTGATAAGTAAGGAGTATTTCAAGACGCATACGGCAGGCTTTTGGTCGGAGTCCAAAGACGAATGCACCATAGAAGCTGAAGTGAGAGTGCATGGGGTGACTGCACCTCTTCTATCTTGACCATATAAACTAACTTCCAAATGAAGATTATATTACAATCTAATTAATATTATCTAAAATAATTGTGATTGAATCCAAGTATATATCTTATATTTTATATGTCATGCTATATTTCAAGTAATAGTTGAACTCTAGAAAAACAGAGAAGTACAGAGAGTATTTTATGATTGTGATTTGATAAATTTGTGAACTTTGAGTTAGTTGTGTTTTAGTATTTTAGTCATTTTTTTTTTTAAATTTTTGCTTCATTTGTGTTGGGTATTCGAATTCTTGGTTAAAAATTAATTTTTGAAGACTGTGAGTTCAAATTCAAAATATTTTGCTCAATTGAACTCTCAAAGAATTTCAATTAACCACTGCTTATTTGCTTTCTCAATTTGTAATGAGAGCTTGTGAAATTTTGTTATGATAATAGAAATAATTTGGAATATGCACCTATATATATATATATATATATATATATATATATATATATATATATATATACACACACACACACACACACACATAATTAGGTTGGTGCGGTTGTGGAGTTAAATCTGAGATATTGATCTTGCTTAAATCATATTTTGCTTCTAAACTTGGGGCTTCAATTCTTGGAGCTGTTCTTTATTCGAAACAGAGGCAACTGTTAGTCGTAGCTCATGAACGCGAAAAAGAAACATCTTATTACGTAAAAATACTATTCTGCCCTCATGAAAAAAAAAAATTAAAAAGGTTTACGTTTTTCTGGCCAATCTCCACTGGTGATTTGGTCGGAAGGACCAAATCGGTTAAAAAAAGCATAGTTAAATGACTAACTTGTTAGCTTTAAAAGTCATGGAGCGAAATTAACACGCCTCCTATAGTCATAGGACCAAAAGTGTAATTTACTCATTTGTTAAATTAATAATAGTCTGGGCATCGCACGGGACACTTACTAGTATGGTTAAAAAAAAAACAAGAAATCAACTTATTGATATGTATTAAATTAGGAAAACTTTATTTCCATATATACAAATTTGCATATATGCTTATTCTTGGGAAATTTTGGCTGCTTACCAAATGCAACTGGACAGAGTAATTTATTTTTGTTTACAAGATAAATGCATAATGTAATTTTCTCGTGATTTTTTATGGTGCTACCAAATATGGTATTGACACTGATACTAATAATACTCGATACAATTAAATATGATATACATAATTATACCGATACTATGAGCACCAGAGACGATCAACACCATAGAAAATCTGGAGTTTCATGTTAAAATGATCTCTTTGCAGTCATGGGCTGAATTATTGGAGATCATAGCATCAGGTTCAGCCATCCCAAGCACTTTAATCTCAGCTTCTACTCTGCAGCTTCCGTTCACCAAATAGCCATATTCTGGTTTGCGGAACTCCTCGATGCTTATAAACTTTGGCCAACCAAAAGCTGCATTTGTTGCATTGAACCAACACTTTTCTGCAAGAATCGAACTCGTGATTATTAGGTACTGAAATTATACTCGTTTGATCATTTTTTTTGGGCAAAATAAAGTATATTTGTAGCCAAGATATTGTGGTCTAATGGCACCAAAGGTTGGACTCTCATACGAGAGGTTGTAGGTTTGAGCCTTAGTGGAGACAGTATTGTGGGTTCGAACCTCAGTGGAGACAGTATTATGGGTTCGAGCCTCAATGGAGACAGTGTTGACTCTTTGTGCTTCAACATGTTGAGAAAATAGTCTCTTTGTGCTTTAACAGATTGAGAAAGTAGTTATGAACAGATACTACATTGTAATAGAGTGAGTAGCATTCAAAAAAAATATATATTGGTACAAATATATACCTGGTTTGGACGATGAAATGTGATTGGAATTAGATTGATCAATCATGCGCACTATGAACTCTGCATATATCTGAGTTGAGGGTTTAGCCTCAGCCAAAGCCAAATATACGGAGACATGGGTGCCTTTTCCGCCCTCATACCCCTTTGGATATATCTGTATTTTCCTACACATATATGAAATAGTTTTATATATACATTCATTTTGTAACAACATCAACTTTAAATATTCACTATAGTCTAGAAGCATTCTTATTTAAGCCAATCAGCTATGAGCAACTCACTATTAGTTTGTCGATTATGGTCTGAAAATAAATTCTCATAACGAAAAAATCACGAGTTTCACTACCCAAAAAAAGTCTAAAATTTAGATATTTTTTATAACTATTATCCGAGGTGATGGTCTAAAAGTGGTCAAAAGTTGTTCCACTTTTCAAATGTGGTCGAAGAAATCTAAATTTGAAAATTCAATTTGATCACTTTAAAGACTGGTTTACCTCATTATGGTCATTTGCTGATTAGAATCTCTGGTTAAAAAAATAAATATAAAAAAAACACAGATGAAGTTGTTACCAATATTGCAATGCGTTGGATTCGTAGCAGTCCTTCCTAAAGTTTAAATCCTTAATTTCCCAGGAGAGTTTGTCTTCAACAGGATCTTGAATCAGTGTGAGACAATCTCTCCCTGGGAATTTTATTTCTTTGCGCACAGAAACCTCAACTCCAAACACACAAACATCATCCACAACATATCCATTGGAAACGTTGTTAAACTCCGTCAGAACAATGAACCTGTCGTATCCCCACTCCTCCTTCATTGCTCGAAATCGCCTCGTTTTTTCCTCTGCATCTGAAAAAACAATCAAATTAAACAAACATTCATACAAATTGTTATGATTAACGGTTGTGTTCTGTCTCAGCTAAAAAGCTAAACTGATAGTAACCTTGTACGACATAGTAGTTGTCTTTCTTCTGATCGTACAAAAAGAGGCGAATGACGGCGTGGACTTCCCACCCGGGGTGGAGGTTGCTTGTGTCCGCCAGTTTTAGGTACAGAGAGATGTGATCATTAACCTTCTTGTTTTTGTTTCCATTTGGGTGGATAACCAACTTCCTGCAAACGCAAATCAAACCAATTCAGACAGTCGGCTGAATAACCACAATGTTATAAGTTTAACTGTCCAGTGTGAGTAGTTATGGGACATTTTGGTTTAACCCGGTCACTTGAACAGTTATGTTGCAACATAAATTAATTTACCTCTTTGCAGTCTGATTAGGGTCATATGGTAAAGTTTATTCAGTGCACACCCTCTAATGTTAACTGCAAGTGGCCTATTGGCCTTTTTTGTTTATCAGTTATAAGCAACCTAAACTAGTTTACTTTCTTGTGGTCCAGTTAAGGTCACAAAGAATGATTTATCTGGTGTACACTTTCGGAAAGTTTGATGGTAAGTTAAGTTAGTTAATTACCATTTGTAGCCTCCGACATCAAAAGCATCTGAAATGTATTGGTCTATGTTGTTCCTGAGCAATGACACCGATTGAATCTTGACCACGTAGTGACTGGGGGGTGCGTCTGAAACTGTTTTCACAATTCCTGAGAAAATTTTGGTTAACATGTTAGCTGACATTGGCACCATTTCTTGAATTAATACCCAGAGAAATTCACCATTTTAACAAAAAATAAAATAAAAAAATATCCATTCACTTGGACGTTAATTTCTTCAATTCGAAAACAGAAAGTGGAAATAAAAATAAAAATAAAAAAATTGAAGTAAACGCAATTGTACCTTCTTCCTTTGGGGTATCAGCCATGGAAAATAATTACTTTGCTATAAATATATATTAATTGAGAGTTTGTGTGGTTTGAGTTTACAGAGATAGCAGCGGAAGGGTTGATATATATATACATAATTTGGGGGAAGGTTAATTACATGAAAAGCTTCAGGAAGGAATAATTCTTAACGTAATATACTGTGGTGATGGATGCATTTCGTTGTGAGAAATTAAACTAAGAGTACACCACATATTCTGTGCTTGGCTTGAATTGCTCACAACTAAATCTTGTAGGTGAAATAGTTGTGAAAATGTGAATCACATGGAATTCCTAGTATGCCCGCCGCAGACAACACAAAAGAAGTAAATCATACTAGAAAGATTATGTGTGCAGTGAGTCACAAAAATCATGCTATACCTACTCAATCATCTCTTTCGGAGATAATTCCTCTTGCACTTTAAAACAATCGGCGGTCGATGCCATCTCCAGCAGTAAAGAAGGTGACCAACTTTGTCGCCTTCAACGGCAAAATGCGACCGGCGATCGTTGACGGTCGCTGGTATTTGACATAGGTTGTTGGAATTTGGTCAGATGCTCGCCGGAGGATTGGCGGAGTTGGCTGGAACTCTAATTGACCTGCAATTACAGGTCACCAACAGCTTACTAAGTTTCATGGCTCTAAAATAACTTGTTTGTGGGTTTAATTATAACATCTAAAGTTTAAGGGCCTAATTGACTTTTTATATAAAGGTTATAGACTTATTTGATCATTTTTCTAAAAATAAATCAACACTCTATAAAAAATAAATAAATAAATAAATAAATAAAAAGAAGAAGAAAATATCAACAACAAACAAATGGAAAATAGAAGAGGAAAAAACGTCGTCGTTCTTTCATGTGATCAACATTCTTTTACGGAGAATTCGTTGGTGCCAGCACTTTCCTCTAGTGTCTAGTCTGGTAATAAACAGAACAGAAGAGATCGCCATTGTTGAGTGAGAGAGAGAGAGCTCCATACTTAAGAGTTACTGGAGTGTTACAGAGAGAGAGAGAGAGAGAGAGAATTGAGAAGGAGAAATGACACTAGGGGGAGGTGGAACAACGCAGGTGGCGTACGGAGACAAATGGTATTGGGAGAAGCGATACGCACAAGAACCGGTTCCCTACGATTGGTACCAAACCTATCACTCCCTCGCCCCCCTCCTCCGCCTCTACGTTCATCCCCACCACCGCGTCCTCGTCGTCGGTTGCGGCAATTCCGGTACTTCCAATTTTAATTCAAAAGGGCCTTTATTTTCTTCAATGTTTACATTATGGATATATTTACTGTTTGATCCGAATGTCTAGCTGTATTTGGTCAGAAATGGATATAGATCAGATCCCTAAAATGGCATTTTTTGAATGACTAGGCAAATCACACTCGCCAGGAGACTGTGTACTAGGTAAATCTCACATTGTGACCCCTAAATCTAGCTTAGGTTGTCATAGTTGATCGGCTCAAACCATAACATTACCAATTCAAATCATAGGTTGTCCATAACCTATTGGTTTAACCATAGGTTGTCCGTAGCGGAACGGTTCAAACCGTAGGTTGCCCACAGTTGAACGACTCGAATCAAAAAACTTAATAGGTCACTCCACTGTGACTCAAACTTAGAATCTTGTGATTACCCATTGAAGAGCTGAAGAATTTGGCTGGGTTTGTCCAAAATGGCATTTTTTGTTTTTAGTACAATGCATAGATGAGAATGAAATTGTCCAATCTTATAAATTAGAGTCTAATATTGGGGTAAGTCCATAAATAAAATAAAATCTTAAATTCAACCACCTATTGCATTATAAAAGCATTTATTTTATTTCTATCTAATTGGCACAAAAGTCTAAGGATTGTGCAATCCTGTTCTTGAGTTCTCATCTTTTGGATAAGCTAATAGAGGTGTCAAATGGGTGGGCTTGGGCCGGTTTGGTCTGGCCTGCCTATTTTTGGACCGGACCAGCCCAGTCCAATTAAAGTTTGGACTGGACTTGGCCCGATCCAAAAATAAACATTACTGTCCGGTCCATGGCCTAAAAAAATTAAAAATTAAAAATTATATATCGACTAATTTAAGTTATGTCTTCCTTCTGAATTAGTTTTACAAGTTCACATATTTATTTCCAACTATTTAACTTAAGAAATATTACAAGAAAATAAAGAAATTAATAATTAATAATGTAATACCATTAATAAGAATAATTTTACAAATTGCAACTATTAACTACTAAGTAGTAAAGGTAATTTTTTCAATTTGAAACAAATAAAATTTTAACTTTAAAATATTTTAAGGTAGTAATTACTAATTAGTATTATAGTTAGGCAATTAAATAGCTAAATAGTAAATACGACAATACCTAATAATTTAATAGGCATAAAATCAATATCACAGTTTTTAATGTGATAATCTCATGGGCCATTACTCTATTAGAGACTTAAAGTATATATGTATATTTTATTTTATTTTATTTAAAAGAAAAAAATGCACGGGCTAACGGGTCGGGCCGGTCCATGGACCACCAATTAAAGTTCATCCTTGTCCATAGTATAAAACGGGATAGCCCTAATCCGCCCATTGTAGCAAATGGATCAGCCCGCCCAAATGTATCGGGCCTGGACTGGATTTCGGGCTAACCTGTCCGTTTGACACCTCTATAAGCTAAGTTATATTTTTCTTTTTATTTATTTATGAATTGTATGAGGTGATCAGCTGTGATTAACAATGGCTCAGGGATTTTAAAATTATGTTCTCTTTCTTTACAAAGACAAATTGAAGAAGTTTGTGTATATGATATCTTCATGGTTGCAGCTTTTAGTGAGGGCATGATTGATGACGGTTATGCGGATGTAGTCAATGTTGATAGTTCCTCCGTGGTAATTGAAGCAATGCGGAAGAAATATTCCAATCGTCCACAACTGAAATGTATCGTTTTGTGCATATAACATATATGTCGATGAATTGGCTATTTTTCATTAGTATAAACTCTTTTTTGCTAAGAGATTTGATTTGGCATGTTACGTGTTTCATGGTTGAGTCATTGATTCCATAACATTAGGCAGATATGAACATGGATGTTAGAGACATGAGTGCCTTTGAAGCCGGTTCCTTTGATGCCATTATTGATAAAGGTAGTCTTTTTTTCCAATATCTTTTGTTCTTCAAATGTATGTACAGTTGATGATTGCTAATCCTCACATGGCCTTCCAGGAACTTTGGACTCCATCTTGGTGAGTACTTCACACGGCAAATTACATATTTGAATGGCTTCGTTGCTTATTTGCTTATGTAGGTGTTTTTCTGCAGTGTGGGAACGGTTCGACGATAAATGCTGCTCAGATGCTTGCTGAAGTCTGCAGGTAGATCGGGAATTTCGTGCATCGGTTTTTAAGTTGTTATTTTTCTTCCAGGTGTGTTGCCTTTTTTCCTTTTTGATCTCTTAATATATTGAAGCAGTTGATGGCAAATTATAGGGTCCTGAAGGATGAAGGAAAATATGTCCTGGTAAGTGTTCCTCGTCTTATCTTTATTTTTGGTCAGACCACGAGGTGTCCTTAGCAGATCCTAACTGTAGGAGGCAACTTTAAGCCCGTACCATAATCAGACTAATCCATGTTCGCACCGGGCCGGCCCAATTAAGGGGCTGGCCAGATTGGTTTTTCTATACGAGGGGGGTTCGAACTCCTGACCTCTCTTAAGGGATAAGAGTGCACGGCCACTCACGCCAATCAAGCTGGTTACCTATTCTCTATTTTTCGTCTACATTCATTTGAGTGGGAGTGGGGTTGTGTTGGGTGGCGGCTTGGAGAGCCGAGTCCAGTATCCTGCCATCGATATGTGGTGCTGACTGCTATGCAAGTATAAGAAATAAAGTTGCACCTTCGCTACTAGCTATAACTTTTGTGTTTCCTGATTGGTCCAAATTAATTCTGCAGATTACTTATGGAGCTCCAGTTCAGCGACTACCTTTGTTGAGAAACTCATGCTCATTGACAATTAAATTACATGTCATAGGTATTTTCAATCGTCCTATTTGTCTTCGTTGTCTTTTCTTGAACTGAAAATTATTTTTCGACTCGACTCCCCTCGCCCAACTAAGTGAACAACAACAATCTGTTTGAATATGATTAATAGATATCTTAGTCACGAAACTGTGAAGTACTAGATGTTTTGTTGTTCTTCATGTTCTGTTAACATAGGCTGCTCGCAAAGATTCCCTCGTAACTGCAGTTTGATAATTGACTTTATCCTTGTGTCTTGCTCGTATCGGTGCAGACAAAGTTCCTACAGGGAGCTCGCACCAGCAAAAATGGGAACTGACTTCACCCATTGCATTGGATAAAGATGTGAGCTCCGTGGAATCGGTTTTGGGGCCGAATCCAAGCGTTCACTATATATACGTTTGTGTTAAGGTAAACAGCCTAATCAATCTCATCTCATTAGTGTTGAGCATATAGCCATTAATGTGCAATCCAACTATCAGCTTAGGCTTTTAGTTGAGATGGAGCACATGCTTTAATTCGAATCTCAGCGCCACCCATGCTTCAATTATCAGTACACGATTTGCTTCTAGATGTTTAGAATGCTCATACAGAAATGCCCTTTTCAGGATAATACTTTGGAGTCCAGGCACAAAGCACAGATCAAGAATTGAAGGATGAAGCTGGTCTCCTTTTGCCCTTAAGTGGAAGGCCAATCACTCACTATATATACTGATACGGATTCCTTTGTTGCCCTCCTGCCCGGCATGAATCCCTTTTTTTTGTATCTATATCCCGCAAGATGATATTAATACAGTCGAACCTAAACAGCTCGATCCGATTTGTAATAATGTTCTATGGTGAGAGGCATGCTGGGTAAACTTTGCTGTTTTTGTCTGATGATAAAATGAATGAAATGAGGTTTCAGGAGACTCACAATTTGACTTTGCAATTTTTGCTCTCTATTCCAATACTTGGTTTAAGTACAGTGAGATCCTAAACTATACACACACATTATAGGTACCAGGTACAAGAATTTTAGTACTACCACGGATCTAATTGTCAATTAGGGTTTGGAAAAGTCGAGTATTCGATGTTACTTGACGATTCACATTCTTAGTTAGCACCAACAGTTGATACAATCATATAAATATAACTAATGTTTTGGATACTATTAGCTAAGTATGGTATAGTATGTTTGTTAAAATTGTACCGTTGCTATAAATAGAAAAAGGTTTGACTTTATCAAGTACAAATTACACTCACAACACTATTACGTACAAGAAAATGTTATTCGCAACAAAACTTGCATCATTTAACATAATTTGCAATAGAAAAATATTATTGCAAATTATATAATATTGACATTCGGTACCAATTTGTTCATGTAGTATTTAGTACTTGGCTGTTCCTGATACTATCAATATTTGGCACCATATAAAATATTGATAATAATAATTATTATTAGTAGTAGCATTGACCAGGGTTCACTTTGCAAGGTGGATCCTGGTCCTAAATTGTAATTTTTTAGTATTAAAATTGTGAACATTTAGAATATAAATATTTTTAAGTTTTAAAATTTTATAAATACAGTACATAATTATCATAAATTGTTAATTTTTGAAAGGTAATGATAAGTTATATAACATGGGTCCGCGTTTCCGTTTATAGTCGGGTCGGAGTCAAGCGGTTCGGTCTCGGTCTTTGGGTCGAGGTCAAATGTGACGGGTCAAACCCGCCACCTCCCTTGGGCCTATAAAAGGGCTCCTAACCCTCCAACTTAGAGAGGTTCCTACTCTTCCACTCTACACTCTCTCGCTCTCTCTCTCTAATAGTGTATTACTCTCTAAACACTCTCCCCTCTCTCTACAAACACACAATTATGAATAAAAGAGGATCCCTTTGAACTATTTTCTTATTGTCTACTCTATGTTATTCACTAGTGAAGGGCACGCGCTTTGCGCGAAACATCATGCCCAACAATAAATTATCATGTTCTAATTTTTTATTTTTTATTTTTAAAGCGAGCATATTCTAATTTTTAAATAATAATATATATAATTTTTAATAATTGTTATATGACAAAATAAATAAGAATACATAAATAAGTTATTTATAAACCAACATGATATACAAGAGTTGAATTAGGAACATGCGGGAGGACATTAGATTTGGTTTTGAGGGAGAGAATGAAGATGTTAGGTAGAATAATGTAGTGGTTTTATAAAAAAAAATGTTTAAAAAATAGAAGAAAAAAGAATGCAGTGTTGGAATGATGGAGAAAAAAGATGACAAAGATCACATCAAAACAAAGAGGAAGAAGACAAAAAAGTAATGGTAAAGTTGTTATTTCTTAAAAAATTGATGACAATTAAAATGAAAAAGTAAATCAAAAATTAGATCAAAAAATCAATGGTAAGCAAGGGTGTCATTTTTGAGGGGCAAATGGCAACTCCCAAATATAAGTATAGGGAAGATACATACGTCCTAGATACACTCCGGGTAATTATCCACATCAAGTAAATTATGTATTTTTGGACCTGAATCTACCTTGCAAGGTGGACTATTTGCCTTGTAAAATATGTTAGGATTAAACTACAATCATTATTGGTCCACACAAGTTGTGTGAACCATATTTTGTTTACTATAAAATAATGTACATTCAATACAAAAATAATGTACATTATATCCAGAGGATGTACATTATTTTTGTTCTGAGTGTACATTATATTATATAATGTACATTCAGTACAAAAATAATGTACATTTAGTATATTAAAAATGTACTTTTTCTTATGGTCTACGTAATATTATGTGGACCACGGTCCACACAATAATTTGCCATTAACCTAGATAATCAACTTCATAAGGCCCAAGAAAGTTCCGGACATTGAGCCCAAATTCGGCCCACGAATTTAGTACAGGGAAACCCTAGCCTCCCGGCATTTTTGTATATATATATAGCCACTTCCCCCAAACCCTAGGCTTCCACCACAAACGCAAAAATGCAGATCTTTGTGAAGACTCTGACGGGGAAGACGATCACCCTCGAGGTTGAATCGTCGGACACCATCGACAATGTGAAGGCAAAGATCCAGGACAAGGAAGGCATCCCGCCGGACCAGCAGCGGCTCATCTTCGCCGGCAAGCAGCTCGAGGACGGCCGCACCCTCGCCGACTACAACATCCAGAAGGAGTCCACCCTCCACCTCGTGCTCCGCCTCCGCGGTGGTGCGAAGAAGCGCAAGAAGAAGACCTACACCAAGCCGAAGAAGATCAAGCACAAGCACAAGAAGGTCAAGCTCGCCGTCTTGCAGTTCTACAAGGTGGATGAGTCTGGAAAGGTGCAGAGGCTGAGGAAGGAGTGCCCCAACGCCGAGTGCGGCGCCGGTACCTTCATGGCTAACCACTTCGACAGGCACTACTGCGGCAAGTGCGGTCTCACCTATGTCTACCAGAAGGGCGGTGATTAAGCGTCTCTTCCTTTTTAAAACCTTTACTTTTGCTAGTACAATTACAGTTGGAGTATCGAATTTTAGTTTTTTTTAATGGATTTCAATTGTCATGTGATGGATCTATGATTATTTAAGTTTTGAGTTATGTTTTAGACCCTTTATTACTTTTTCGCTATTTGATTTGGTGCTTTTTTATTATCCTATTCTGATATCTCTGTGGTGATGCTGAATTCCTGATTTAGTTGGATTTTGCAAGTAGTTGATTTCACTTGATGTTTCTGATTGGCTAAGCCTAATATTCTGTGAGTTGTTTGTTATCTTTTCTATAGATGATTTGTTGTTGTTTAAATGGTCTTAATATTCAGGTTTGCTCTGTAAGATGCATCTGGCACCTTTTTGCTCTAATAGTGTCAGTATAACAAGATATGATTTGCTTTAGATCTTTTTATTAATGTTTCATCTGTGTTTTTAATTGTTTGATGAATTTCTAGGAAGGTTAATTGTTGACTGGTCATAGAATGTAAAATTATTTGAACTTTGAAAATTTTTTTGGGGATGTCTAGAATGTAAAATTGTTTATATTCTTCTTTGCATTCATTTTTTTGAACATGTAGGATGAATGTTTTGGAGTTGTATAGTTTATATATCATGAATAAGATTTGTGGGAAACTGTCTTGCCCTGATATGTGATGTGCAAAGTAATACTTTCTATGAAGGTATAGGAGTATTATATTTTAAGGTATTACAAGTTTTTCTGAGATACTCACATGAGTACAAGACTTACTTTTATACCATTTGTTGTATTTGTCAAATTGAAATGGCAGGAATTGTTTTCTTGTATATTTGTGTAGTAGTTGCTTTGGCTTTCATTATTTGTTGTTAAAAGTCCAAGCTTGTGAGTAGTGACTACAAGTTTTTAAACACACAAAGTAAGCAACTTTAAGATAGATACAAAATGTCTGGGATCAATTTGTTGTCTTTAATATGCTGCATACATCAAATAATATATGCTAGTATTCTTGTGTAGATGCGTTCTTCACTGGTTTAATCTCAAATGTGAAAATTGTCTCCTTCCATCTCTAGCAACTCCTTTTAAATGCTGCTCCAGTTCATCTTGGTGTCCTGGTATAAGAAGGATCCAAGAACAACAATTTCTTATGATCAAATTATGAAATTCACCTTTGCAGTAGTGGGAGCTTCACTAGATGTGCTGAGTTCCAAACAGGTTATCCCACCTAATGGACCATTTGGTTATTGTGATTTACCTTTTCACTATTTATGAAATGCACTCTTCACTCTTTGCTGCTGTGTGATGAATATTCCTGATTTTTGTTTTGTAATTGTGTGATGAATATTCCTGATTTTTGTTTTGTAATTGTGTGAAGTATATTCCTGACTTTTGTTTTGTAATTGTTTTGAAGTGATTCTGAAATAATATCATAATGTGATTTAATGTGGCATTATACATTAAATTGTTACTTTGATTAAAGCAAACTGGATAAATAATTGATGCATTTAAAATCACAGTATATAAGCAGCCAATTATGTCCACAAATGTAGACCTGGCTCCAATAAAAATAACAATAAGGAGACGTATCACTCATAGATAATAAAACAAATACATAAAAATTTGAATCAAAGAGATGAATATATTATTATGTGGTAAATTTAATAGGTGAATGTATTACCTCTATAATAATAACAAAATTGGTAGAATGTGTTCTAAGTGGGTGGACCATTTTGAGTAGGGGTAAGTATTTCGATTTGTGTGTTTTTTTTTTTTAAAAAAAAAATATATATTAACCCAAATTTAATCAATTAACTATTCTAATTTATGACTTCTAATCAATTATTTTTAACATGATACATAAGTATATTTTCACTTATATGGTGTAAGCATGAGTAATTCATGAAGCTTTCTTCCAATTATATTTTCACTCATATGGTGTAAGCATGAGTAATTGATGAAGCTTTGTTCATGCAAGAAGCTCTTTCATAACTAACCAGACAGGCTAGCTATTCCTCATTGTGCAAATCGTTTTGCATGAGCAATTCAAAATCTCATAAAAACTTGAACTGACTGTTCATTTTATACACAAACATTCTCCATCTATAGCCAACATATGAAACCATTAAGCTAACTTCAAACACTCAAAACAAAAGAACATATGAAAACAAAATGAGGATAGAGATTGAAACAGGAAACACATTAAAAGAAAAAGATCTAAATGGCTATCAACACAAACAGCTAAACACTAAAGCTTTAAACAAAAATGTATGGAGTGAAATAAGCAGATTCAACACAAGAAAGATTAGATTTTTACACAAAAATATGAGAGATTAGTGGATTATTGCATGCAAAAATGAAGGGATTTGGCTGGTTGGATTGCGAACGGATTTCGCACCGGCATTAATGCCCACCAACTAAGTATGAAGAAATTT